GGTGTGCACGTACCGGGAAATTCCACTGGGGAAATAATTCCAATATCACCGCATAATCGAGGGCTGGAAGCTTGATACGTTGTACACGTTCATTACTCATAGTTTCGTACGTGCCAATCTCGCTTGCTAATTAATTATTATCCAGATTTAGTGGATGGGTGGGGCTAACGGGGGGATCGGTGGATCCCACGTGTAATGCGATAAATTTTACACGTCAGGTGGTGGTGTCCACGCGCCAGAGCTTCATGGGTATGATGTGTATCACTTTCGGATAGGTAAATTGGGCTTGATGGAACGACCTGTTCTACCCCGGTTATCTGGGCTTTGTTCTCTGATTTTTCAGTGTTGTGATATGGGTAATTTTACGGGGTTAAAGTACTTGTGTGTATGTAATTTAGTTATTGAGTTGAAATTCACTCATCAACGAAGAATTTAATCTCGCTGGGCAAGCAGTCCTGATGGCGAGAGAATGACTCAGTTACAAAATTGAGAGAACTTGACGAATAGTTGAAGTAATTGAGAAATAAGACAATGGGTTGACGAGTCATGTGGCGATTTATATTCACTGTACTTTAATTATTGACTCTCAACTCCGATTACTTCGAGCCTGTTGTCTTGGATGAATGGAATTCAATTGCATTTTGTTTGCTCTCTGATGAGACATTTCTCAAGTCCTTCTCTGGAGTTTTTGGGGAAGAGGTTTTTACTAATCGGTCGTGAAGCACCAGGTCTGTTTGCATCTACAAGCGGACTCCTCCGTTTCTTCGTTTCCTGAGGTGTGAGATGCTTCGCCGCGCCCCAGCGATTGACCCTCGGTCCCTTTGGTTCTGGTGCTGATGGTTTATTGGGGGAGGAAAGCTGATGGTCTGCGGCTTATCAAGATGAGATCTGTCTCTTAATTGGAAACAACGTTGGTGGTGCACTGCGGTATCAGAGGATGAGCTTCTGGTGATGTGACTTCTTGATTTGCGCTGTTACACCTACAGCCATATGCTTTTATTATTCTTCATTTGATCATCTACACTTGTTTATACTTTGCTCTCTGATTTATTTTCATTTTCTTTTCGAGGATTTCCTCGCAGTTCTTTATACACAATTTGGTTGTCGTTTCATTCTTCAAGATGCTCACGACTTCTATTCTACTTTGCAGGGTTCCCTGTTGTCCAGCGTTGGACATGTCCAGTGGCTCCACCAGAAAAAAAGTACAAAAAAACGCAAGTTTTCATGAAAAATGATTCCATTGACGTGCAAAATTCTTATTCACCCGCTGGAATTTTCCCATTACCATCCAAAAACGATGCATAAATATCAGCACGATGGAGTGACATAAAACGGGGGATGAAAAAAAAATTGTTACCTTGTTCTCCCGCTCGTAATTCTCTCCCGAATGCCCCCGTGGGCGAAAAAAAAAACTCATTTAAATGAAAAAAAAAACAAATAACACACGGCTGTGAAGTATGATTGCAAATTGGGGTTCTTGTACGCATAAATAGCCGTGTCGATAAACAAATCAAGGGTGAATGGGGTAAAATGAATTTGGGTATACGTAAAATTAGTATTTGTGTAGAAAAGCAGTTGGATTTGCGCCAGGATTGTGTTTGCCAGCTCACTGCGGCTCACGGAACCCCTCCATCATATTCCACCCCCCTTCCTTCCCCCCTCCCACCACTTCTTTATGGTAAATCGACCCTGGGGCATGGGGATAAGATGTTTTACGAGCTTGCGAGTCATTCAATTCTATTAAAATTTCTCTAATAGAAAAAAAAAATAAAAAAAAATTGAAACATCATGCCTTGTTATTAAGCACCCTCTGGAGGGGGTCAAAAATGACCCCGTGAGATCGATCAGAAAAAATCACATCGAATTTTAAAAATACGACCCATTTTGCCCCGGTCAGCAAAACTTTCTGGCGAATTTTAAAATGAAAAAATGAAAATTAATTGTTAACTTCCCGACAGGAAGTTATTGATTTCATTCCGGAAATGAAAAATCCTAATTTCATGAAATGACGACGTTTTATAACGAGTAGAAGCTCCTCCGATGGTTTTTAGAAAAATTTGTGTTTCGTAAAAATGTTTCGTAAGAAATTTCCCCAATTTTCAATTTCAAATTTCAACTCGTTCAAGATTTTAATTTTCACTTATAAATTAGAATTTAGTTTTCTTCATTCGAAGAAATACTTTTTAATGAAGATAATTTGTCAAATTGACTCTTAACGATTTACAGAGATTTATAATGAGATACGGTATTTTATTTCGATAGATCTAGTGCCCCGACAAAATTTAACGCTCGAAGAATTATCTGCGAGGCGAAAGGACAAGAAAGAGAATGGCCGGGTTAACTGGATAAAACAGTGAGATTCTCCCGAGATACCTCTTAACGAGGGAGATTTGAAATTCGTTAAAGTCTAAATCAGTAGTCGCGAGACTGATGGGAGTGGAGGGAGGAAGCAATTCCACTTACTGCTTTTGAATGGGCGTGTAAAAGCGAAGCCCGAGGGACACTTGTGCCACAGTTCGGAGGATGAAAAAGGGTCAGGGATGAAAGGTAGTGAATTTTCACCTGAGTGTGAAATTCCACTCTCGAAACGCTTCAAATTTTCATCTCATTCAACGATTAATCCCGTACTTTTTAGGATTATCATTAAATATTCTCAATTGTCAGCTGCAGCTGCTGACAGAAATCATCGAGTGACGTTGCCGCGGCTGGAGCATTAAAAACTCATTGGAAATTTATGATAATGGGGGTGATTGGGTGCTTTGCAGAATATCAATTATGAAATGTCATAAAATGACCGGAAAAATGGGTTTTGATGTTATTTTCGGAGAGATCAATAC